GGTGAGAAGCCTGCGTACAAGACCCACAAGACGCCGGACCAGACCGCGGTTTAAACTTGTATCAATAGCAGATAGTGTGTGATTATTACTCGGCTTTTTTCTGTGATGGCTTGTCGCGCCATAGCAAGAGTCGGTCAAGAGTATAAAAGATGGTCCTCATGTGTGAGATTTCGCGTGTCTCGACATCCGTCTCGCGATAGATCCATGCTACATGTCGTCGCCAATGCAGGACTCAACTTCAACATGAAAAGTATGTATTTGCACGGAGTATAAAAGGATAGAGTATTTGCAGACTGTCAAGCTCGAAAAACGGTATCTGTAATCAGCATATATGTGTTGATAGAGGTTTTGAGACGATCGCGGACACCCACTGTCACCCATGACGCATGGTTCTGCGCCAATCGCCGTCCAATCAGCAGCCCGATTGCATAGAAAACGTAGGCTGAAATCCAGTGAATCCTTGAGGCTGTAAAAATAGCCGTGCGGCGCGCATTTGCTCTGGCCGTCGGCGCCACCCGTAGGTTCTTGCTGCATTAAATGCGCCAGCTATTGCACGACACCGAGGTGCTTTGGGAGAACGTATATGGGTGCTTCAAGCCCCTCCCATCGAACTTGGATATGATGGGCAAGGTCCTGCGCGCATCACGCGTGCATCGGATGTTGGTACCGTGCAAGGCGCTAGCATCGGGCGTCTGATGCGACCAGCGCTCAGCATTCACAAAGCGTTGCATCATCTTTTAGCGAGTCCGATCCCGTTCATTGGCAGCGTCCACGTCGGCCGTTGGACGGCGAGCCTCCACCACCACTAGGAATATCACACGACGCGACCCGCTGGCGTCAGGCAAGCAGCAACGAAACGAAATGCATGTCCCAGCACCGCCACGTACGGTCGAAACACATACACAAGTTCCACCAAACCATTCACTTTTCAATTTACCCCGAGTCATTTCCAACCCTCTTTTCTCCACCAAGGTCGGCTTCCTCCATGTCGTCGCCCCTCCGTGAGAACTTTTACGCGGTCTGCGTCTGCGCCTTTGCGTCGCTCGGCGGCATCTTCTTTGGCTACGATAACGGCGTCGC